ACTGAAATTCAAGCCTAGTATTTGCCCAATTTGCATATTCATCACATATCATTGAAATTTGGTTAATAGATGCTCCGGGGTAATGCAACAAAGTGATTAGTTTAATGTTGAAAACATGCATATTGATTAACTATTAATTAACTAAATCAGGTTTAAATTGATCTTGTGTTAGAGCTGCTCTGGATAAATTAGACTGCAAACCACAGATGTACAATCAAATTTATTTTCTGTGATTATTATAATAAACTGCTAACAATAATGTGGATCACATTGTTTTCACGTTGTGTATCTCAAGTAGCAGACAAATGATAGTTGCCAAGTTTCTTGTTGGAATGGTCAATATTAAATTTTGAATATGCCTTCTATACTATCAGCACACAAAAGTTCTTTCTAATTTCTTTGTTCGTTTATACAGGTACCAACCAACTCTCCAACATTGCCAAACTACATGCAGCAAAGTACATTCTTGTATTCAGGTACCATGACTGACAGTGCTAGCACCTCTAATTTCTATGATCAGGTAAGCTTATATTAGCAACATCATCATTCTCTTATTTTCGTGATAACTTTTTCCAGATTACTTTTACATATGGTTGGAGCTTAAAAACTTTTGTTTCCAAACAAAGAGTTCATATATGGTATTTAACAATTATTTTACAGGCTTCTTTTTGGAAAGAGAAGCTTGATGAATTGCCCGCTCGATACACATATTCACCAGAAATGGAACTGGCTGAAGTTCCAAATGAGAATATCACAACAACCTGTAGCCATGATATATCCTTTCAAAAATCTATAAACTTGTACGCTCATATTTAGGGATTGAGAAATATTGTAGGAACTTACCTACTGGTCGTAATATATATGCATTAATGCTGATATCTGGACAGCCTCTTTTTAGCCTTTATGGAACCAAGATTTGTAGTGTTTGACATTTCATGTTATATGGACAACCTAAAAATGACCTTAAACACTATAATTTATTTGTGTAGCATTTTCAGGGATGCATTGACCAATTCTGTTCAAATTTGGAATATTAACTTTTGCTTACTGAGGAACATCCATATTATTTCTTTGGATTTGATTGAAATTGGCAGCCTCATGACTGGCTGCCATTCTGTATATCACCAATTTTTTAATGGAATTACTATTTAAACTTGATACACAGTATTGTCACATATAAATTGGTATTGATTTGTGTCGCAGTCCAATAAAAGATGACTGATTGGCAGCCATTTTGGTTGACATAAATGTTAAACTGTGCTTATAATAAAATTATCTAATTTAATATTTCTAAACTTGGTACAGAGAATTGTGTTCTTGCACATAAATGCAAGCTAGTTCAGATGCACATTGTCTATCCAATCTATCCAAAATGGCCTATTGGCAGTCATTTTGGTTTTTGACAATCATCACCATTTTCTGTGCAATTTTTCTTGTATTTCAAACATACATTGCCAAATTATGTCCAAATTTTGGTCATTACATTGGTTATAGTGAGAAGCAAAACAAAATAAACTAGGTAAGACTAATAAAAAAATAAATTATATTTCTTAACAATGGGTGCACAGACATGTTTCAGCTCGAGATTTAATATTAAGTTGTGGTTTGGATAGCAGCCAAGCAACCACATCAGCTACAAGTCAACCAGTTAGTAGCTGTGGACCTGTGAGACAAAGTCTAGAAGAATAGGACAATCTTTGTCACTCAATGAAGCAATATCATGCTTTGTCATCTTTTGGAACAGTTATTTATATACAATACCATTTTAATCAATCTTTTAAACTAATTCTTTTACCCCACAAATACTGAGCACCTGTAATTATTTGAAAAAACTCCTATATTCTATGAGACTAGTTATCTTCTCAGCTCTTTCAGTTATCTTGAATCATAAAAATTGTGTGCAATTTATATTCAACCAATATTTCAGTCAGTAATTTTTTGAATGGAACAAGAATCAAAAGATATGCACTGACTAGGTGCTTGCATTTCGTTAATTCTGCTTATGCCCTATGCCTGTTTCTCGGTTACAAGCTTAAAGAATTTGACTATAGGGGAGATTATTATGAATTGCATAGGTCATATTGTATTATTTTTAATGTTTTTTTGATGTTTTATGAATTATTTCTAATGGAATTAAAATATGAACTAAAATGTTACTTGTATTTAAAAGTAATTGTAAAGCAACATTAATTTTCATGTTGCAAATAATAAACAAATGAACATCAAGACATCTGTTTGATTATGAATACATGATTTTGACATTGCTTTTTCTGATGCAGGAATAGTCTCTTACTGCCTGATAATGTATTGAAGCTATTTGGATCAACAATGATAACCTTACATTGGATTTATTTACACACTAGTTCAATACCAGCTTTTCTTTATTAGAATCACATGTGCTCACATAAAAAATGACCTGTTAAAAGCGATAACACAACATTTGGTATATCAGAAGCACATGAATAGTAGAGCACATAAACCCTAAATTACCATTTATATATTTTGGATCATATATTTAGACCATACAAATTTCTAATGTCATTAACGTTATCGTATAAGCAACTCATGGAGCAAATACTGTATTCAGATTTTGGTGTGCCACAAATCACACATGTCTCTAATCACAGTCCCTCAACAAAAGGACTGTGCTCTAATAGAGCAGATACAGTACATTGTTTAAAATAGAAACATCTTGGTAATTTTCAAGGTTGTATAAATGGTGGTTATTCAGTAAACTGTTCAAGATGGTACTGATTACAAATTTCTGGCGGGATTTTGTTACTGATGTTTGTTTTGGAGAGTAAACCCCATCAGCTAAAAAACACATGCAAATCAATATTCCCCTGACAATGATAAGTAGCGCTGCATGCTTGGGTACAAACTCCTGTATAATGATATATGAGGCAGCATACCATAACTTATATATCATATAATAATGAATAATTTAAAAGACAATGATAGAAATATTAGAAAACTTCTTCATTTATTGGAAATGTTAATGTATAAACGAATAACCCAAAATGTCTGATATCTTTGTTTTGGATCAGCTATTTCATGCAAATGCTACAGTTACTAAATGTAAACAAAGCTGAATGTTATAAAATATCAGATCCATGTGCTGAAAATTTAAATTTTGTTACTGTCATATTCACGCAATATGCAAGTTCAAACTGTGAACAGGAAAAATCACCTATTCTAAGTACATGTGTATCTACAAGCAATCAGGTTAATCCTGCGAATAGCAGATGTGTTACTCAGCATTCAAGAACAGTTAAATTTCAAATATTTTCTCGGATTTTGGTACCACATTTTCATGTTGTTCTTTCACTTTAGATGTCAGGTCTACTGTGGGTTTTGACTGTTCTGTGGCATTATCTGACATGATTGGTGTATCTGACACATCTTGACGTTCACCTATAGTGACAGTGTCACCTTTTATCCACTGTGGCTGCACTGATTTAAGTTTAGCAGATTGACTTGATCCTTGGAATCGACCACGGGCTTTACTCCAGTTATGCACATTGCGACCACTGTACTGCACATCATCCATAGATCTCTGTATCCCAGAACCCAATCCAGCTTTGCTGTCTCTCACAAGCACTTGAATCTATTGGGTATGGAATTAAATATATAATTATAAATTACACAGTATGTCATTCACCATTTCTGACTGAATACACTTCAAGGATGGTCAGTGCATGTGGCTGCAAGGACCACAACCGTTTAACACCTCACATCCATAAAGGTAAAATATTTGAGCATAAATCACACCAGAGGCAAGTATACCACAAGATTTAGACCAGCTTCACTGCATATGCACACAAGTGATGGCAAGTCAAAACTGGTTGAGGGGTATACTCGTCTTTGGGGGTGGTTATTCCCATATATTATTATCAACTTCATTTTAGGAGTAATAACTTTATATAGCACCAAAAACCATATTTCAATTGTAATAAAGCATCTGAAATGTTTGCAGCCATGATTAAATGCAATGGGCCCTGGAACTAGCATACAGCAATTATAGATATAGCAAGCAGTGATGAAAGATCAAACCCGCATCTCGGCGTCGAGGTTTATTCATGTAGTTTCTTGTTGATGTATGTAAAATCGTGTCAATCGACATAACTGATTAGCGCCGGACACCTGATTGCGTATTGAGGATAAAAAAACAATCATTTTTGTTGTTGTTATTTGCGTAATTCTGTAAAATTATGTTTCTCATGCATTTTTTGGAACCCAAAATACCCGATAGTCACAATTTTCTTCATTGCATGTTATGGCTGTAGTAAAATTATATTGGACAGACGGATAAATACATGGAATACAAAAAATCTCTCAATTGGGACTAAAAATAAACTATTATTTACCGGCTCATGTATTCCTTCATCATTCTTTCCCAGCGAGTGTCCTTCTGACCAACCCATCTTTTTCATCATTTTGTGACCAACATTTCTGTCATCAATGGCTCTAAGAACAGACAGTTAAACAAATTAAAAACTATAGAATGATGTATTTCGTTTGATAGACCACAGATTAAAAACAAGGTTATTTCTCAAACTTGCCACAGAGGGCAGACCATACCTATGAACAGAAGCAGGCATATCATCCTTTTGGTAAGGGTTGTCACTACCAACAGTTTTCCGTCTTTCTTCTGCTCTGTCAACGTAATCACCATTTTCATTCACAACAACTTTCTCTTCATAATCAGTATTGGCAAGCATATATTTCTGTTTTATTTGTTTTAATTGCCTTCTCCTCAGTTTTTCTTTTTCTTCCTTAGACACGATTGTGAAAGCTGCAGAAAAAGCAAATGCACTAATTTAA